ATCACTGTGAGACTTTGTATTTCAAAATTAAGGGGAATCTCATCGCTTAATCGCTTCCCACAGGAGGGATTTATACACTGAGGAAGCATCAACTTCCCCAGGGCTGATGTATGCAGTTGTCGTTTTAGCTTCCTGAGCAGGTTCCTCGTCAGATTTTAGCTAAAGGAACATTTTGCATGCTGGCAACTTCACATCTTGGAAGCCTGTCTGTGTATGCTGGAGGAACTTGTTAAAATAAGCTTTACTCTCCAGGTGTGAAGATCAGTTTACTTGCAGCACTTCTTGCCGATCATTCAACACGTGGGGAATTTTGTGCATTACACGTGTTAAGCCCTGATTTTAATTCACACTACTAAAAATAAGACTCATAAAGCTGCTTTTATTTTTATTTGTTTTGTAGATGCTTGTGTGCGTGCAGGTGTTAGATAGCAGCTTTAACACTTTTTTTCTGTATGTGTTTTTACTTTTAAATTTTTGGTCCTTTTAAAATTAGTTGAAGCTAGTAAGTATCCCTAATCCAGTGCTGAAATCTGCTCATAGATGTTATTGTTACAAGCTGTGACCCCTCCCTCGTTCATTGCAAACTGACAAACTCACTGATCCCGGCAGCTAGAGTGGCTGTCACAGCCTCAGCCCACACTATCCTACAAACATCTTCATGTCTTCCCGCTGGCCTGGTGTGTGATTGACTGAGGCCATGTGCTCCAGGACCAGATTCCTACTAAATCAGCCCCTGGGCCTTTTGTTGCCCCCATGACTATGCCTGCCACGGAAGTAGTACGCCATTGAATGTATTATTCTCTTAAGTGGCTCTGGGTGGACTGGTTTGTTTTAGAGAGGCTTTGTGCCCAGCATACAGACTTCCTGGACAAATGAGGGACTCCGACATGACAAAAGGGTCTTTCAGTGTACAGGAGACGGGCTTCTCTGACAAGAAATTGTTGTCTTGTCCTCATTATCAGATGCTTTATGATGTTATTTATAAGAATTAATAAAGATGAAGACTAAAAACGCAAATTTATATCAAATCTAGTTTAAAAGTGAAATGTGACGTTAAAAGAAGAAGCTAAAATGATTGTTTTTTTCTGTTAACTATCTACAGCCTTACTGTTGTCTCATGTTTTCGTTGTTATGGCATTCAGCTGCTTCTCCAGAGAGGATCTTTATGTTCCCCAGGGTTGATGTACTCCAAAGGCACCTTCTTAGAGTGCGGCAGGAGACTGTGCTCCTTCTGCTATGGAACAGAACAAGTACAAGTGCAATAACAAGTACTACTGTCAACAACTTCATTACAAGACGGATTCGGTCATAAATAATCACCAGTCTGCAATGTTTGTTTGGGTTTTTTATTTTTTATTTTTTTAAAATAGTGATTTTGTTGACATGCATGCGTCTTTATTGGTCTTAAAGACATTCATTGGAAGTTATCACAGGTAAATCTTTTTAATTTCGTACAATAAAGTGGGATGGTCCTCTAAGAGGACAGAAGAAAGCAGCAACGTATGGTGTGTATTTACAATGCTTTAGGCAAACGTCAAACCATTGCATGGTTGTCTCTGATTAAATTCAGTCTCAGGACTTTCTGTTGTTAACACACTGAAAAACTAGATTTAAAAACTACATTCTCTGATTTTTATTGGAGAATTTTAAAAGTTTATATTTGAATATCTGCAGCTACTGTTGCTCATGCTTTCCTTAAATTGTGAACACAGCTGTGCTTCCTGATCTTTTATACGCAGGTCTCACTGACATAAATCTCACTCTCAGGCTACATTCACACTGTGTTTTCAAACGAAAACGCATCGTTTTCTCTCCGTTTTGGCCTCCCGCACTGAGACGGCGTTCTCCCCAAGGAAAAACGCATACATTTCAAAGCGGAGCTGCCCCGTCGCAGTGTGGCCACTCAAAAACGCAGACTTTCTAAAACGATGACGCATTTTAGTCATGTGATGCAGTCATGTGACCAATTAAACAAAGATAGCGGAGGGCATTATACAGCAGTTGTTTTGATTGCTCTCAATTTTGAGAGCCCTAAATAATAAACATTAATATCAGTTTGTACATGCTCCAGATAGCTTTTCTTCAACTTCTTTAATTCTCACTCGCTTTTGCGCAGGACTGGAACGTAAGCGTTTTGGGCCGTTTCAATGTGGACGCACAACTCTGGGTAAACAACTGAAAACGCTAGTGTGAAAGAAGTAGTAATAAACATCTGAGACAAAACAGTTTCTGGTCTTTTTCCTGACATTGCAGGTTGTGTACTGTGAGATGTCCCAGATACTCATGACTCAGGGTTTTGCTGTGTATCATAACCAATAACAAAATGCTTGTGGTCGGAGATGAGCCGATAATTTGCTCCTGTTGCGATTATCTCAGTCTGGAATAATCTTGCAATCAGTGCTGCTCATCTGATATTACTTATCTGCACACCTCAAAGTCATCATGACAACTGCCTCAGTTTACTAGACTGCACATCGACTCATCAAGGGTTTAATGCCCTAAAATCTCTACTGTCTATTCAGTTACCTGCTTTGCTGTATTTCTCCCATGTGCCCTTAAACAGACTGCTCTTTTCAGTCTCTTGGCCCTTTGCCTAAGCAAATGGATTTCTTCTTATAAAATCTGTCACCCTGTCCATTTCAGCCTCCACAACATCTTCTTGCCTGAAGTTAGAGTTTTACGTCTGCTTCCTGAATCTTTGTGGCAAAGTAGCTCACAAAGCTTGAGCTTACCTCAAGATGACTCACAGGTAGCTTTTGCCTCAAACAGCAGGGCCATAAAGCATGCTGCACATCACAAATGATTTGGTTTTTCAGCTTGCAGAGGGTCTGCAAGAATGACTGATTCCCAGTGTTTTAAAAAGGATCTCTTAAACAGGAGCCTAACCCACCATTTGATTCAGTTTTCTGTCTCATGGCTTTGTACTCATCTGCCTTGTTACAGGAAATCAATTTAATCGAGGCACGGCAGTTTGGAGTGACCATCAAGCTGAACTTAGCGCGCTGGGCAGACCAAAGCAAATCAATGAACAGCATCCAGCAGCCGTAAACGGCTTTGGCTCTTGTACTTGGCAGAACTTCTGTTTTGCTTCAATCTTGAAATGACAACCTGGCTGCAGATACAGCTGCGACAGTCATGCATCCATTTTATTTTTTTATATTAGTGATAGTTATCCAGTATAACTTAAATTGTCGCAAGAAGTCAACGGAGGGAAAAAACTGTTTTTCTAAGAAATCAACAGATATGGTTGCAGTTTAGACTGTCAGGAATTTAATTTACTTAATTCAATTTGATTTTATTTATACAGCACAAAATCGCAACAACAGTCACCTCAAGGTGCTTTATATTGTAAGGTAAACCCTGCAATACATACAGAGAATAACCCAACAATAATATGACCCCATATGAGCAAGCACTTTGGCAACAGTGGGAAGGAAAAACTCCCTTTTAACAGGAAGAAACCACCAGCAGGACCAGGCTCAGGGTAGGCTCCCCTACCCCTTCAAAGGTCGATTTATTGTTTAAGACTTATTTTTAAGTAGTTTACTCAAAAAAATGTTTGATTCCACCGCATATCAGAAACATTTCGTAACCAGTCCACTCATCCTAGTCCTGGAAGCAATCAAAGCTGGAAGGAAAACGCTGCAGACGAATATTTTATGCATGTGATGGGTATAATCACAGGTTTAAGAGCTAAAGGCTTGCACATCTGCAGGCCAGTCTCAAACACCAACTTATGACTTGTGAACAAGACCATGAATAAGAAACCTGTTGTACGATTTTGTAGAATTAGCAGTAATTACCAGATTCTGGGCATTTGTGACACTGCCAATCCCAATTGAAGGAAAGACTAAAAAGAATAGACCCAACTAGTCTCATTTTGAATGCTCTGTTATTTTATTTGTCACATTTACACTGAACACAGCGCTAACATAGCAGCTTGTCCTCTTGTCTTTACCTCCCTGTTTTGTTCTGTTCTGAGCTTGTGGGATGACATCATCCACTCCTTCCAATCTGATAATGTGTGCTACATTAACACACTGTTGCGACCACATATAAGCAAACACTTTGCTTCAGTCTGTTTATGTTCCCTTTGCCAGACCGGGGCTTGCTGTCTTCTGTTTACTGTCCTCACAAGGACACACAGATGTAAGCGTCATTAATCAGATACACTTATGTAGCACTCCCCTCATTAAAACACAACTTCCGATTGTAGTGAGTATGTGGTCTTTTGTCCTGAGGTGACTTTCATAACAAGTGCACCATTGTAGAGCTTTCATTCCTCTCTGTGGTCAGTGGACTTTGATGCCCGCCACTCAGTGACTCAGCAAACCCCTGGTAATCAGACCAAAGGCAGCTCCATCACAGCACACACTGGCACATCTGTCTTTACTGGTACACTGTACCCCTAAACTTCAATTTTCCACTTTCTGTTTGAAATCTACTCTGGTTTAAAAGGAAAATGGCGTGATTTAGTCCGAATTAGATCAGACCATGCAGGCCAAATAAACTTATCCTTAACCTTTTAGCTGCTGGTTAATCAGCATTTTGGAGTCCTTTTCAGAATGCTTCATTATACACAGTCTGTAATTGCTGTTTTACACAAGGGAATCAAGAAATGTCATCTGTTTGGGGAGATTTTGGTTTGTGTTACCTTCACTTTTCAACCCTTGAAGTTCTTGTTTGGCATGTGCACGTGTCTTTGTTGCCTGGCCACCAGTCTGGATGAACCATTGATAACCATCCACGAGTGACATGGATGTTTTTTGTTTTGTTTTTAAAAAAAAAAATAAAATAAAAAGTTTAAATGCACTTATCATCATGTTGGAACATGAGCCATTTTCCATTAGGAGACTGAATACAGAATCTTAAGTGAGAAGTTTTTATACATAGAGCGCCTCCGTCTGAAGCCTCAGGTTATCCTGTACAATGACTTCCATACAAGAGAAAGTTTCGAAGCAGCTGATGTAACGATAACTTATCATTCCGTCTTCTTACAGGAGGCTTCTCTGTGGTGTTTCTGGCTCGCACGCACAGCGGTGTACGCTGTGCTCTCAAAAGGATGTACGTCAACAATGTCCCGGACCTGAATGTCTACAAGAGAGAGATCACTATCATGGTGAGAGCAGCATCAGTGTTCCTTCATTTCAACTACACTTAAAGTCTTTGTGCTTATCTTTATTGCTAAAGTGTTTCAGTAACATTGTGGAAGTTTAGATAATTACTTCATCGTCATATGACAGTGGAGTAAGTTGTGTGCCCATTGTAAGTGCTTTTTCAATAGTTTTATAAAATTTGCTACCAATGTCCGTCATCCTCTCTTACAACTTTGGTGTGATGAGGATGATATGCAGCTCTGTGGGTCATTTATTAGATTTATCATGAGGTTATGC